GAGCGGGGTCGTTGAAGTGGCCGGAGAGTCAGTTGAAGTTGAGTCAGAAGAAGAGACATTGGGATTCGTGTCAAAGTCGGATTTGAATCGGACCATTGGTGGTTGGTGGTTGGTCGTAGACGTGGTGCTATGGGTGTTGGGAGCTAATTGTGGCGATGGCAACAGAGGTGTGGAAGTGGATGTGGATGATTGTGCATGAGTAGACATTATCTGGGTCTAAAAAAGAGTGGGAGCATAAAATACTGAAATACAGGGTAAATGAGAAATCTTGATTATCAAAAAATCTTTGACTACCCACCACAAAGATCTGCTAATTGTCCAACATTTACGTAGTATTTGGGTTAGCATGGTGCAGACCAAACAATATTGTGAAAAGAATTTCGAGGGAATGAGTGGATTGAGATGATTCATCACTCGCGTAATGACCAAAGATTTTAGTTCTTTATAGGCATATTCTTCAATGGGAGGAACGTGGGATCTGCTTTTATCGCGTCTCCAGGATTCTTGTCTGTATTCTACTCATGAAGTGGCTATCGCGTCTATCAAGGCCTTTAATAACATTATCCATGAAGAGCAGGAAAATTGGCCGACTTGCATGTCATTTGGTTTGGGTATGAAAACAACGTTAGGGTGCTGAAATTGACAATGAAGCTTTCAAGCATTTTATTCAGGAAAGATTAGCATCAACTCGTGACCAGTTTCATAAACTTGAAAAAGAATCGAGGAGTTGGAAAAGAAAAATGGAGTTTAGTACATATTCAAATGATATATAACCCGGCAAAGGCAGCTAACAGTAAACACGCATGATTTTATTTTAACTCAACTAATATTGACATACTGTATATGGAAGAATATCTATCGTGTTTAATTTATTTAATTGGAAGAGGAGTATGCTCTTGAATAAAGCTCATATAAACTGCGAATCACAAGTTTATTCGAAAGAGCGAGTCACTAAATTGTAGACGATGCTAATAACTTCGTTTACATGAACGGAGCCAATTGAGTCCAAACTACATCCCTTACTCCTAGTCAACCTTCCCCTAACTCTACCTTTAAATTGGCAGGCTGAAATCTGATAGGGGAGGTAACTGATGAGACTTAGTCCTTGGTTTTAGTTTAGGCAGATCTCCAGTAGGTAAGAGTGTGCTAGAATATTTACTCTCCTTTTCGAGACGTGATAAGGGCTTTACATCATTATAATAGATGATATTCCACGTGTTGTCATCAGAATTGTCCGCCACTGCAATAAGATCGTCAATATCAAAACAAAGTTTCCGTGCATCTGGACGCTTATCAGGATCAGCATCATAACACTGCTCAGCAAGTTTCTTGTATTCCTCTGGGGTGGAATCAGGCATTGATGGTCGTAGTCCGCCCATAATGTTGCATGCTAAATCTCTATCGAACTGTCTATTTCTAAAAGGTGGTTCACCAGTAGCAATCAAATACATAATGATACCAAAAGAATACACATCTGATTTCTGAGTAAATTTGCAGGTATGGAAGACTTCCGGTGCAATAAAGGGTAAAACGCCTTGAATGGTTGAATTTTGTTGACGTGAATTCACCGATTGAGAAAGACCAAGATCGCATATCAGTGGGTGAGTTGATTGTTTATCATCATCATCATCGTCATCATAATAATAATAATAATAATAATCATCATCATCATCGTCGTCGTCGTCGTCATCACCATCATCATCATCGTCGTCGTCATCGTCATCATCACAATCACCATAATTATCATGCAAAACTATTACTATGTTTCCGCCGTGAAGATCACAATGCACTAATCCCGTATCATGAATCCTATACAGATAAAGTGCAATATCCTTCAAGTATCGTAATTTCATCTTCCACGTCAATTTGTTAATATTTTGATCCAAATAAGACAAAAGACTGCCATTGTTAGCATATTGCATAACAATCATGTACTCTTTTGTTTCTGGGTCTTGTGTCACTCCGTAAATTTCAAGGAAATTATAATCATTGGATGAGCACTTGGCATGATTTCTGAACTATTGAATAAATAAGAAGTCAAATTAAATATCACTTTAATTAATATGAATACTACCAATTATTGCTTACCTCGGAAATAAATAATTCCGGCGTTTCATCGAAACTCTTAAACCGTTTGAGTACAACGGTTTGCGGCATATTCTCTTTTGAAGACTTGGCAATATAAACTGTTCCATAGCCACCAGATCCAATCTCTTCGAGTTTGTAAAAGTCACTATACTGGATGTACTTTACACGTTTACTATTTCGTATGAACTTGTCCAATAGTGCATGTACGTCGTGGTAGAAAACTAAATAATATTCTCGAATAGATGGTTTCTGAGTGATCCCAATTATCCAAATATCCTCGGGTGTTACTATCATTGGGTATTCCTTGGTTAGCTATTTGAATAACAAATACACGTACAGTACAGTCGTTACAACAATAATCTGTGATACACACGTTAATAATGCTATTACTATATGCATTTTACGCGTGAAATAATTTACCTGATAAAAATCAAATAACTGATCGTTTTGTTCGTCGACTATCTTTTTGAGTGTCACGCGTGTCAATTCATTTGTTCTCCAATCTGCTATATGTGTGCATCCATGGCGTAATGATCTCATCTCTTGTACGTTTGTCAATAGAGAGTATTCAATCCAGTGTAGATAGGCATCATATTTATTCCTTGTATTGCTCCATGATTTTATAATGAATGAATCCAAAGACTTGTTGTCCGTAGTCCAACCGAGGGGTTGTGGCACTTTACAGTTGAAGCAGAATGCACTTATCTTGGAGCTTAATTGTCCTGTACACGCTAGACATAATCTACTGTCAACTTTTACGAGACAATACTTTTGTTCGCTTGCATCATAAGTGAATTCGATGGTAACACAAACATCCGTGGCAAGAATATCTGGATGCTCATCACATAACTAGTGGAAATGATACATAACAATAAGTCAATGATTATTTAAACTGTTCAATAAACATGATGCATAAGTACGTAAATAGTTTACCTCGGCATAATATAAATCATGTGTCTCGTCTGTTATCTCAAGTGGAATCAATTTAACACGTTGATCAGTAGGTAGACCATACAATTCACATGAATATTCCTTATCCTCCTCGATGATACAATCGTATGGAATCCATTCCAAATAGACATCATTTGGTGAGTTTGTTTGTAATTGAGATTTCTTAATAAACTCGTCGAGTTGCTTATTGTTGCTAGCCCATCCATCTGATAATTGTTTATGTCCACAGATGCACCACACAGGACTACATCGGAGTATTCCACATGCAGAGCAGAACCCATATCGGGAATAACAGTGGTAAAAGAGTTTATTCGCAACCATGTAATACTTGTCATTAGACTTGGTGAATCCATATACCAGTTTGTTGCGCTCCTTCAGCCATTTCTTATATCGTCTAAAGCGACTGATATCATTGTTGTTGTACTTGTGTGTCGGAAGTGAGTATATTCTAGCAAACCCACTCACAAGGGTTGTTGTACATTCTTCGATATTTCCAAGCGATAGCAGCATTATCTTTACGTCATCATATGTTAGCTTACGAATAGCGTAGTAGACATTGTCAATTTGAGTCGGCTCTATGTTGGTGAATTCTTCGTAAGGAATCCATTCAAGTATATTGTATATACTTTCCAAGGAGGATTGAACCAAGTTGTCAATTGCTGGATTATTAATCCCTGGAACTAATGGCATCGTTGAATAAGAAATTTTCAAGTACAACATTCTCAACGTACACTAATATACCGATCCGTGTGTAACGTTTAACATCTAGGAATTATCGGTGGGCTTATGAGACATATTGATCATAAGATGGATCATACTATTGCGCTCTTTATATATGAATGCTTGTAGATAATTTATTACCGAGTTGTGTTTTGTACTATTGATACATCGAATGTTTCTATTTTTGGCTAGATTATCAACGATAATGGAGAAAAGATGTGCTCTGCATAATCTGCACTATATACATTGATATACGGGGGGACAAAAGTATTGCACAGTTGTAATTTATATGAAATAAAAGAACTAGCTTTTGGACCACTTACTTCATCAGATATAACGTGTCATGATGAGCAGAACACAAATTAGTAAGAACCAATTTTCTGCTTTGGCGCATAAACGAATCTCGCTAAGGAGTTTGCTGTATTTCTCGTAATCACAAAAATAGCATAGATAGACGTGTGAACCCTTTCCCAAAGATGGGGTGGATAGCAAAGGCGACGACATAAGTTTTTAGAAAGTTATCCCAATAATGAAACAATGTTCGTAGTAAAACATTTATCATAGTAAATTTGCAACCCCCCCCGATTAGAGTGGTAATTGAAAGAAGGAAAGACCAATTATGGATAGCTTTAATCGCGAGAATTTACATTCATAGGTTAAGTTCGGCAAAAATTACTTGATGTTATAGGGGTTGGGATGTATATAATAATAAGTACGCTGAACGTATACCATATTACAGCCGACATGGATGTGGGGCGGAGAAGTGCGCGTTGAGTCATGAAAATCTGTGGGTACTCATTATTACGTAAATGAGTTTAGATATATACTATCAGTTACAGGTTTTACTGTTGCTATTATTATTATTGAAGCGAGATGTGTTTTCAGAGAGTGGTCATATGATGACAAGTAAATGGGCCGCAATTTAAAAATTCAATTTGGCACAAAATAAGACGTGCATCAAGGTTATCATTACTATTCTTTTCTACTGGTGATTTCTATCGAAAGTTCAGCAAGTTTTGAAACAGGTTTGGTTATACGTACTACAGTGAAACCAATCAAAGCACACAACACCATTGTCTGCTCCCTTATAGTCAGTCGGCCTTACTATAAGTAAATTATATCACTAAATGGTACATTCAGCATATATCATGCAAGCTATAGCTTCGCACATAACCGCCCAATCTCTGTTCATTTTTCAAAGTATCCTCGAGGATGCTCCCTTCCTCTTATTACTTTTCATCATGACATGGTTGATTCATCAGATTTACAAACTCCACCTTGAAAAATCGACTATAAATGCGATTCCAGGTCCCAAGGCATGGCGCTGGACAGATATTCTACACACAATCTATTTATACTTTGGTCCTGGGTAAGACTTCCAGGCCATCCGTTGTTACAAGTTGGCAAATCTGTCAATTCTTATCACGCCTTTATGTCTGTTATCCGTAGGCACGAGAAAGCAAGGGAGTTGCACAGAAAGTATGGACCGGTTGTCAGAATTGGTCCGGAGAGCGTACTTATTGCTGATAAGAATGTTGTCAAGCAGGTATGAATGCGTGCTAACGAGATTAGTATTATGTGATGGTGGCCTCAGAGTCGAATCAAATTGTTCATTTAGATTCTCGTGACTGCCAGAGATTATCAAAAGTCTGACATCTATGAAACGATCTTTGGAGCCGGGGTTCCTGGTTTACTTACAATTATGTAAGCGGGGTTTTTCCATAAAAACACATTCCGCTATATATAGCTTGAATTAACTAGTGCGTCTCCTGATTGTATGCTATCGATTTTCTCGACGGCAGTGATAAACAAGAACACAAACAACGCGTAAAGTATAATCTATTCGTTCTCCTTGGAATTCTCTGGCCCTTTTTTTTTTTTTGGTACTGATGCTTCTTTATTTTATTTAGCGCCGATTGTTATCACCTGCATTTTCGACCGCTCAATTGAAATCTATCGAGCCACAAATATCAAACACTGTCGCAGACTTGTGTACTTTAATTGAGAAATCAATTAAAAATGCGGACGACGATGGGTGGGCGATTGTTGACATGATGCACGCTTTGCGGCTAATGGCGTTTGATGTCACAGGACATGTTCGTCAGTATTATTTTGAGTGTAAAATTTATCCAAACAAGACAGTTTATAGTTAATAATTCAAGGTTATATAAATTTGCAGTATTGAGAACAAAACTCAATTCTCTCAGGGGCACTAATGCAGATATGGTGGATCGATTGGTCTGGGAAATGACTCTACAACTATTTGTAAGTTTGCAATCAAATCAATCAATCACCATACTATCATTATCAACAACTAATTATCTATTAGTCTGCTGTTCCCGTTTTATCATGGTTTGTGCCCTCATTGCCTGGGCCGAAGCTACGCAAGGTACTGTAGACAGAATCAGATAGCTGGACTATTATAATTATAAAACCACACTATTAACTATTGATTTATTTATTAGTTCGTGATGAGTCTCATTGAGGAACATCGTCAGTCTGGTGAAGACAGAGTTGACGTCCTCAAATATTTACTTGAATCCAAAGGACCTCTTACTGATGAGCAGATTATCAAAGAATTGGTTTTAATTTTGTAAGCAATTACTACACTCAGTCACTATGGCAAAAGTTACATATAATCAACAGCTCACGTCTGCATTTATATTTATAGCTTTGCGGGAACTGGTATGCTCTATTTTCTGCGTGACCTTTTCCTTGCACCACGTTATATCTCCTTATCCAGACACATGTTCTCTTGATCCTTACCGTACATCCTTCTCTCACATGTATACAGCTAGTACTTCGGTGACGCTGACGATCACCCTCATGCTGCTCCACTTGCATCCAGAGAAACTCTCGAAACTTCTCTCTGAAATCCACGCCACCTTCCCTGTTCCCAGTGAACCCATAACGTATACCAAGTGCAAGAAGATGCAATATCTTAAAGCTGTTATTAGTGAAACGATGAGGTTCTATCCTATCGTGGGTCCTGGTTGGATGCCGAGGACTTTCCCATACGATTTAAGGGTTGGAGATGTTATTGTTCCAAAGGACACTGAGATAGTCAGCTCTGTGTATACTTTGCAACATACGGAAGAATATTGGTGAGTTTTGTTATTGCAAATTGAAGAGCATATGGCGCAGGGAGAATTAAACAAGGGGAAAAACGTTATTTTTTACAATCGAACGTTTCTTCCAACTAGGCCAAACCCGGACAAATTCATTCCAGAAAGATTCTTCCCCGGGAACGATCCAAGTCTAGATGCGTTCTATCCATTCAGTGCTGGAGCAAACAATTGTATTGGGAAGAACGTTGCGTGGATAACGATGGATGTCGCGCTCGTTGCACTCTTGCGCAAATTTGAATTTGAACTTTTACCAGAGAGCGAGCAGACTAGGCAATTGGTGATGTCGTCTACGTTTACAGTCAAAGGGGCGACGTTTAAGATGAAAGTTAGGAGACGAGCTGGGGTTAACCAGGGAGCATGACACGTTGGTCATGACGCTGATGGTATCGGATATGGGCTAACCGCTTGATTCACCCGCAGTGTAAAATTATCCGATTTTGTATTTGACCATTTGTTTTAAGAAACGACGCACAGACAGACTTGACGCGCCCAAGAGTAAGTTTGTTAGGAATGACGGATGGAGACTGCTGAAATTGGCGTTTACCACATTGCAAGCCATAATGATAAAAACTTATCTCAGCTAACTGACAGGGCCTATAGTTATTATTTATGTGCAACGAAATAAGAGCATATAGAAAGTGAACTTACGCAGATTGTTCTGCATTTATGGATTCTTCAAAACGCGGTAAGCATCTGCAAATTATGCTCTATCTTCCTGACTATGGCAAGAATACTTGGTTTAAAGCTTTTACTTTTCAATAATCTGTACTGTTAAAAGATCACCAATAACATTGTCAGCCATTAAAACTCCATTACCAAAAATTTTATCTTCAAGGCCTTGGCCGAAAGTTTGATCAACGAAAAAATGCGATGTCTTGTTTACTATTACTGTCTAATTTCGCCTTTGTAAAGTCTCGTCAACCATTCAGATTCACAAGGTAATATTCGTCTCTTCACCAGGCGTAGTGACATTCCGACATTAACTATAAACGGCAGCTACAGGATAAAATGCCATAATCCACGCCTTGATGTCTGCCACCAAACAAGGGATTAATATTATTGATACAGCCACAAACTTTGAGTGAGGGAAATTGGTCGGTCAAGCCGTTTAAGAAGCTGCAATGATTCATGTAAAGGATCTTGTAGCTGGGTACATTTATTCTGCTCATAGTACACCGAATCTCTCAAAAGATTAAGGTAGATACATTTTACGGTTAACAACCTGGAAAGGATACGAACATTGGAGCGGCTCGAGTTCATCTATAAATGTTTATGTTGTACCTCAGTTGGGGACCTGTCTCAGTCCAGAACCTAGTCACTCAATCCAGAACTCAGTTGTCTCGGTCTAGAACTCAGTTGTCTCGGTCCACAGGCCCCAATTGAGGTACAACATTTTACAAGTCACGTTCAGAAATATTGTGAAATACAACTAAATATATGGGGCATGCTGCAACAAAACCAGACAAAGTGAACATTCTTAAATAAGAGGCTGGTATGGCTGAAAGTTAACCAATTTGACTAATAACGTTTTGAAATAATGGTGCTCATTCATAACTTATGGACTTGCCAATTTTAATGTTCACTTTATCATAAACATACCAGAATGTGATGAATATAAACCATAACAGGATTATATAGGATTATCTCTATATAAAAAAATATTAATATGAAACTAATTTACATCAAATCCACCATGGAACCCAAGAATTACAGCACTATTAGAAGCATTTTAAAGAAAGCTCAAGGAGAAAAAATTGCACCTTATATTTTTAAACTAACAGAGACCAAGTCTTTACAAACCTATTTAGACAAAGAAAAAATCACTTATGAAATTTATCAAGAAGAACGAAAGATAATAAACAATAAACGAACATTAACCTCAACTTATAATGAACCAAGAAAGAAACGAAAACTTGAAGAAAGGTAAAGGGAAGCAGTTTAACGTAAAACCTATCAATGAAAGATTGTTCCTTATGGTCTTGATAAAAGACTGCTTAAACGCATTCGTTGAGCTTTGACACAATTGCAATTAAAAACGTAAATTTTTTTGTAAGCATAAATTTTATTATTTCAATTATTGAATGCGCGCTCTGGAAATATAAATAATAGTAAAAGCACCAGAGTGATTGCATGGGAGGAAAATACTCGGACCCAAAGCCATTTATGAGTATAACCTATTCTTTGGTCACTCTGGTGCGAATCTAAATATTGTTATCATTTTTGCCATTGCTATTATCAATAATGAAATCACTATCATCTATGCCTTTTCGTCATCTTCATTGTTTACGCTTTTCTTCTTTTCCTCCTCAACCCAACATTGAATCGCCATAATAGACTTCTTCTGTGGAGTTGTTCTTCGCAGGTAAAAATTTCTTATCGTAGAAACGGCAATGCTCTTTCCTTCACCAAGTAACTTATGAATTTCGAGTACCATTTTGTTAAACGAAAATTTTGGATCCGATTTAATTCTTTTTTCGTATAATAGGATTAAATCGTTCCATAAGTTTTCGATTTCTGGTGGATAATCACGTTGGCCAATTTGTATGCTAGTTTTGGATTTTTTTCTTCGACTCCATTAAATTGATTGCTTTATCAGTTTTCTGATTTATGATATGCAGCTGATCTTTGTGAATTTTGTAATAAAAGGAATATCCAAGGATAATTCCGATCAATACAGTCTACCCTCCATATATGCACACCCCTTGGGAAGAGCTGGAGCGTGCATATATGGAGGGTGTGCATATATGGAGGGTAGACTGTAATCCAATAATAAATTCGCTTGTGAGGGCAAACATTTTAAATAGCTCAATTTCTGTCATTTTTTATAGCGAATCTTTTTGAGTCACGATATAGATATTCTAATTAAATGTCATTGATAGTTACAATTGTGAAAAGGTCTAGAAAGTTCCCAATGATATGTATTGATTGAGCCACTGATTGGTGTTGATAAACTGGATCACATTTCGCAGCACATCTTCCCATCGAAAACAACAAAACTATGGAAAGTGCTAAAGAAATCAGACAAGAGTTGAAGGAGACAAAGGAGAGGTTAGAAAAGGCAGAGGCAGCTTTGAAGAAGTTCAAAGATGGACCCCGTGGAAAGCGACTGAATTTCCTATTGGACAAAGAGTTGGAGGACACAGGACTTGATGAAGGGGAGCGAAAGGAGAAGAACTCACTGGTGGAGAAAGAGGACATGCTGGAAGAGGCTGCATTTAGTGCAGGGAAGACAGTGGATGCATTGTTAATGAAGCTCCTGGACATGCCCACGACAGGTAACGACTTCATGAGTCGGCATTAAGGAGCAAAGCAAATATTTCTATCTATTTTCAATCATGACTAATTAGTTCTCGCGATTTCCTTTTTTCCTGCTGATTCTTGTAAAATATAAGAGCCGGCCAAAGGAGAAGGTATCCATCTGCTCTATTTAACCTTTCAAGAGATTGTACCGTTTTGTTGCTGCATCTAAAGGAACATTAGTGTGACATTGATTACGATTCGTGTTTTTTTTCCCACTATGATGCTTCTCATTTCACTTGAAGGTATATGATCTTGTTTGCGACAGTTGATTTTCCTTGTATGCTCTGTCTTGTTAACTACCTACTGTGATCATATTTAGAATCGCGTCGAAGCTCTACAGACAGCGTCAAGAGTGTTCAAAGAAAGCGACGACTAGAGATCTTGCAAGACTATGCGTCGACCCACAAAAAGAGGAAATCGGATGGAAAACTGGCGTTTTGCGAATACGACTGGACTACAGTGTCAGATGCATTCGGCGTGAAATCCGGGTAAAAACTCTAGTTTCTTTTTTTTTTTCCTACGGAGCTTTTTATTCATGTCACGAATTCATTCTATTGGTATTGGGATAGGTTTGGTGCTGATGTATTCGATCCGCCCAAAGTAGACATGCCATCTGACACGCTTGACGAAGTCATGCACTATCTGAAAGTAAGTAATAGTAATGTACTGATTTTTGTACAGATACACGTTCTGACAGCTCTTTAGCTTCTCTGTAAAACGATGGGACAACCTAGCTTCGGAGTGGCGGCAAAAAGAAGACATTTCATTGGAGCAGTTATCGTTAGTTGCGCTGGTAGGTATCATATATGTGTCTTCTGTCAATTAGCCCTATCTCATTGAAACGGTTTCGACTAGTTTTTATAAGCAATGAAATAGCTATAGACATTGAGAGCTCGTTAATTGGCAAGGAAGTTCCAGCAAACGGTAACGTGGAATTTCTTGTCAGGATTGGAAATTTCATAATCTGCATCGTCGAGGCAAAGAAATCCGATTTTGACCAAGGGCGCGCCCAGAATTACGTTGAGTGCGAAGTGGCTTACGAGGTGTGCTGCGATGTTGGCATGTATTTTCGATATTTTCCGTGTCACGAACTGACGTTGTTCTAGTTGAACGGTGGTAGGCAACCCATCATGTATGGTATTGTATCAAATTTTGTAGACTGGATATTCGTTCGTTTGACGGATGAAGCCGTGAAAGAAGCACAATATGCCGTTAGCTTTGACAAGGAAGGCTATCCTGACCGTGCAGACGTGGAGAAAATTTGCAGTGTCGTCATGGGGATTTTTCTTGAAATGAAGGAGCTGGTGAGGAGTTCCCAATAAGACTCTTGTCGCGACCCAGTCTATGAAGGAAAGAGTGTATTATGGAAGGAAACAGCTTCAAACCGTCTGACAATACGATCAGTGCATCTGTCAAGGCCAGCGATTGGATATTGCTCAATTGATGATGATAATAAAAAGTATGAATTGGTCAAGCGTGCATTCTCTTGTTTGTCGCTTTTAAATTTGAAAATTTGCTTTCTTTATTGGGTTTGAATGCTTGCCATTCCAAAGGCAGTAATGAGGTGATCATATGATAACAGTTAATGAAACGTAGCATAAGCTGACCAACCAGATCAATTACTCGCATGTATAGCATAAAGAATGTTGACAATAATGGCAAAGTCATAAAACTAATATATAGGATTACCCGTATATGGAAAATTATAATTATAATGGTTCGACTGAATACGAAAAAGCAATACACTTCCTGGAGATAGGTTGCAACTGTGGTTGTTCAAAAATGATTCTGAGAGAAAATTTTGCCGAATTACGTGAGGCGTTTCAAGCTCTCTCCAGATCCGAACAAGATATATTTTTAATGGCCCAACTGAAAGCAATGAATGGTGGAGAAATAACCACCAGCCGACGTCTTAAAAAGAAAACACGCACTAATAAGCGA